CAATATTTTTCAAGTTGAAATCAAGTAATCAAGTTCTTTCTTCACACCTCTGTCATTGATTATTACACCTTGGGTCTGTACTTTTGAGTTCCATAAATACTAGTGTATTTGCAGGAAGGTGATCTCTCCCCTGAACTATACAGTGACACCGAAGAGAGTGAAAGTGAGACCGAGGGGGCATCTGACGAAGGCGATTACTATGATGATGAAACTGATGCAGAAACAGATGATGATGTTGAAATTGTTTCTGATGGAACATGCAGTGAGAGTGGCGACTCTGGACACAGTGATCTGCATAATGATAAGGTTCATTTCTATACTTTCTAACTTTATCATTAAACTGCACATATGTTGTGATGATAAAAAGATCCTAGCCTAGTTAATCCTTCAATCCATTAGTGCCAGACCTTGACAAGACAATTTCGTTCTTTCAAGTTGGTTAAATTAATATTGGTGCCTCTGCATAGTTTCCATTAGCTATGCATCCAGCTTTTTGTTCATCTCTTTTGCTGTTGCTAGTCCATTGCGAGACAAATTTGGAAGTTTTCATATATAATAATATATTTACTGTTTGCTATGTTTATGTCCTCAAGCTCTTTTGTCTTATGATTTGATCCTAATACCCAAACTAAAACAATCTTACTTGGCCACTTCTTTAGGCTTTTCACCCGCTTCAACAAATTGTACTATGTTGTGTCCCTGTGACTCTAGTTTCTGCATGGATGCTGTGATGGTGTGACTCTAGTTTCTGCATGGTTGCTGTGATGTTTTTTTTACCTTCTGTTCTCATGAAGGGATTCTATTTTCATTTTGTTAGTGATTTTGTTTGCTCAAGAAACTATAAGAGATGGAAAATTTGGTTACACCATGTATACTAAATGCTTTAAGGGTGCAGGATGGTGATGGTTTTAGCTCAGGGTCCAAGTCCCTTGATGGAGATGATAATATTAAAGCTCAGAAGTTGTCGTCAAGCTCACTTAAAACTTTGCAGCCTCAACATGATGTGCAAAAGAATGAGAATGAACTGGTTTCAAGTGAAAATAATTCGGCAGAGCTGGCTAATGAGTCTGCTGTAGTAGGAGATGTTTCTAGAGAAACAAGTTCTGTGCAGCAGCCAATTGTTCGTGGTCTTCCATCCATCCAAAAATCTTCAACTATATCCAATGGACCTTCACTTAGTACAAGAGGTCGTACTGCATGGGGACGTACCGCTGTAAGTATATGTTTTCTGGAGTGGTAATATGATGCCTTGCTTGTTAGGCCTTTCTATTACTATTTATATTTTTCTAGATTAGGTTATCCAAGAAAGGACTTCGAATTATTCCATACACCCTATCCATTTTCTACTTTTGCATTTGTATGATCCTAATCTAGTGACTGTATTCAGAGGTCTTTTGTTTATTGGGTTTTTCTTTTTTGGGGGGTGGGGGGATTTTGAGTCCAGGCAAAGAAGAACCTTTCAATGGAATCCATCGATTACAGCCTTGAGGAGGAGTAAGTGATGCATATTTCATATCTGTAGAACTACTTTCCTCGTATAAACTTGCGTATAATTTTTTATTTATTTTTTATTTGGTCGTCCTTGTATCTTTTTTAGTGTCAGCAGATGCCCTCTGTCACATGCTTGATGTTATTTCTGGAAGTGGAGCTATCAATATATAGAGAAGCATGCACGCATGTACACAATATATAGAACACATGATTTTGATCATGGTGGCACATGACCCCAACATCAATATTACTTTTTTGCTAAAGGCATTAGTGATTTACTTACTCTTGATGTACCATTAGTGTTGCCATTTAGGATGCAGTGATTTTTACATTATTACTTATAACTACTAACTATTTGACTAACAGGAAAATATGTTTGTAGCAAAGTTGTAACTTTAAAAATCTTCAGCTCTTTCAATTCGATTAATTATTTCTAACAGCTAGTTTTCTTCCTGTATGAAGGGATGAAATCCAGATGCTTGAGATTACTAAATCGGAGTTGGAAAACAGAATTGCAGAAGAGGTGTATTTCTCTTTCCAGTTACCTTGTATCAAGTTATTTGGAATTTTCTATATCTAAGTCGTTAGTTTCCTTTACAGGTTCAAGGGAATGCAGCTCTGCAAGCAAGTTTGGAAAGACAGAAGACAGCCTTGTGTGAGCGTCGTCTAGCTCTCGAGCAAGATGTAAGTTTCATTGTGGAGAATATATTTTCTGGTTTTTCTAGTAGTTCCTTTTCTTTACTTTATTTTCCCTGTCTTTCGCATATTGAACTTTTAATTTTTTGTACGGTCAAGGAAGTTTTAAATGCTTCTTTATCCATTGAATCTAATGCTTATTAAGTAATTAGTTTCTATTGAATGGTTGAGATCTTCAGTGGTAACTAGCCATGATGATGAAGCTAATAATTACTGTTATTGGACATTAAACGTACTCGCAGGTGGCAAGGCTACAGGAAGAGTTACAGAAGGAGAGGGATTTAACAGCAGCTCTTGAAGCAGGACTTCATATTTCTGGAGGATGTGTACCCAATTTATCCACTGTTGATGAAAAAGTTAGTCTTCTGTCCTTTAACTGGTATGGCATAAGATCTTTCATGATTCACCAAATGGTTAACTTGCGTATGTGCTATAGACAAGGGCAGAGCTTCATGAAATAGCTCAGGCAGAGGCAAATGTTGCCAACTTGAAGAAGAAGGTTGATGATCTAGGTGTACAGCTTAACCAACAACGAGAGCGAAACCATGGCTCTATGGCTGATGCATCCACTTTGTCCCAACACAATCGGGATCTTCATGCAAAACCGTAAGATCTTTAGTTAATTGGTGGTCCTTTCTTGTTGGATCACCTGTCTTCTATGTAGCCATCCTTCAGTAACTTAGCTGCACTTTCTTTTCCCCTTTTGTGTCTTGTTTTTAGGAACGCGATGGATAAAAAACAGGACAGTGAAGCCTTAGCCCCTTCACGTGATGAATCATCAAGAAGTAAGGTAGATATATTTTGACATTTGAGATATCTTCATGAACAAAGGTCACTGCTTGACTTTAAGTTACACACTTTTTTAACCCCAAAGAGAAGATAGATTAAGAGAAGAACAAATGATAACTGATTGCCTAATATTTTTTAACCTAAAAGTGAAGCAGACTGATCTATTTCAAGAACAATAATATGAACCGACAAAACTTGCTCAGAGAATGTGTTTGGCTCTGAAGAGCTGTAGTTACAAGTTATAACATCAATGTTTACTTCTATTGTAACTTGGCTTGGTACTGCTTAAGCTTGACTTCTAGATCAAAAGTGGATTATGTTTAAGCTAAATGGAGCCTAATCTTTGAGCGAGCAGTTTGTGCAAAAGTGGATTAAGTAAAAGTAGTAATTTCGTTTAAATCAATTTATGGGCATGGTTCAACAGGATACTCATACAGATGGAGCAGAAAAACATAAAAGCAACTATCGGTCAGTTGTGTTGCCAACCAATTCTTGTGCTGTAGAGCCAATGGGGGCTAAGCCTAGTGCTCCAAGCAACTCCAAGAAAAGTGGTACAGGGGGTGAGGTAGGATTCGTCCTATTTTACTTTGGCTCCAGTTTGTTTTGTTCAAGTTCAATAGAACTGTAACCAATGGCTCTATGAAATATTTGAAGATTCGTTTTTCATGCGTATACCACATCTTGCCAGATTGCCCGATGATGATTTTTATTAAGCATTCTTTGCTTCTTTTTTTTGGGTAGGATGACAATACCAATTAAATAGACTAAAAAATCATCCAACTTCTACTTACTGCTTACTTGCTGCTTTGGATTTTACTCATGTTTCTGCTGGATGAGCTTATTTATTTCTCTGACTAGATAGAAGGCTAGAAATAGTTACATCCCTCTTTGCCTGTGCATAACAGGGAGGCACAACTTCAGCAATAACAAAGTTGACGTCGCGACTGAATTTTTTGAAGGAGCGGAGGAGCCAAATAGCAAATGAAATTCAAGGCCGAGGTTCAGGTCAACCTGCCCAAAATTTGGATAAAACTCAATCAATCCAATACTCAGACAAGAGCTTGGAAACCACAGAAAAGCCAGAGAAGCTTAGAAAAGCAGAGAGTCATTCGTACGCAGAGAGAGACAGAAAATCAGAAAGCCAACAGCAGCATAGCCTGGACAGAGGAAAATCAGAAAGCCATCTGTCCGTTAGCGTGGAGAAAGGTCGAATCGTAGAGAGTAAACCTTTCGGTTCTCCAATGGCGGACTCTAGATCATAGCAAATGTTTATATGTTCTCTTAAGGCTCAAGGACAGTTTTTTTGCAAATGGGATCTTCTTATTTCATAGAAGAAGAAAAAATTGCTGCTAGACATGGACCAAATTGTGCAGAGTAGAGTGAGGAAGTTCATTGAATAGGTTTTGGTTTTTTTTTATTGAGCATTTGATGCCTATATCAAAATAGCTCAAGTCAAGTCCAAGCCCCCCCCCCCCCCCCCCCCCCCCCCCCCCCCCCCCCCCAAAGCCCTCTAATGCTCAGGATGTACAGATATGAAGCATCTCCTTGATGTAAAACTGAATTATTTGCAACCCCAAACTGTTCATTTATGCTGCCACAGAGACAGCAGAATTGCCCAGTTATTTGTGTGCGTTGTGTAATTTCCATTCCAGTTGCTTAGTCTATGCTTATAAATTTTTAATTTTAATGGACATGATCAAAGTTCAATTCCTACATCACCGGACCATAAACTCATTCGAGTGAAATTTTCCACTCAATTGCATGATGACTTTTTCGAAGTGTCATACGAGAACTATCAAATCTTATTCTTTATGTCGAAGTGTTGTTAAAAGAACCAATTTTGATTTTGTTGATGTATTGTGCTACTCACTTGTTAATTACCTGTTGAGATCCCATTAAATCATTAACTGGGTTTATAAATTACTTGAAAATTTATTGAATTGTCCAAACGAAAAATATAAAATTGCATTAATCAATCATAGTAATAATTATTATTTTTCATCGTCGTCTTTGGGTTGGAGAACTCAAAAATCCTTGAGAACCTTCCGGAGCTGTTCAAGCGTCACAAACAGCACCACAGTGAAGGGCCCTTGCCTAGAAATCGTAGGGATGAAGCCCTTGTAGAGGGCCATGGGCCCCTCAGCCCTCACAGTCTTCAATGCACAATCCAGGGCCCCACTATACGGCGGTTCCTGCCCGGGTTCCACCTTCATGTTCATCACCCTTGTCTTGATCACGTCGATGGGGTTCGACGCCACGGAGGCCACAAACCCAGCCGCGAAACTGGCCGTCACGTGCGTACCGAGGCCGTCCTTCATCAAGTGCCTGTCGAGGATCGCCTCCTTGATCTGATCGTACGACGCCAGCTGCGACGCCGTCACGATCATCGCGCGGTTCACCGTGAGGCTGGACCCGCGCCACAGGCTAACAATCCCTTCGCTCCTCGCCATCTTCGTGATCGCGTCCACCACGTTCTTGTAGTCGCGGCCGCCAGCCTGCATCCGGACCATGGCCACGTCGGCTGGGTTGCCGACGGCGGCGCCGACTCCGCCGGCGACGAGCCCGGCGAGGATTTTTCGGGTCAGGGGGAGGTTTCCGGTGTTTGGGTCGGCCCACTGGACTTTCAGGGCTTCGTAGAGGCCCATGCGGGTGGTGGAGTAGAGAGTCTGGCGAAGGACGGTGGCGGAGACGCCAGAGTATAGGGCGGCGACGCCTTCCGTCCGCACGATGCGAACTCCGACCGAGATGGGCCCCGCGCGGGCCGGCTGGGCCGGCGGTGGTGGGCCCACCAGAGTGGCAGAGTGGGAATTAAAGGCAAAAGCGGGGCGGAGATTGTGGACGGGTTGTGGGGCCCGAGCGGCGGCGCTGTTGCTCTCACCCTGGAGCTGCATGCGGACCTTGATGAGATCAAGCGGGTGGGTGGAGCAGCCTGCAACAATGGAAGCTAAGCCTCCCTCAACGAAACCTTTGACACCCATTTCTTCAAGTGAGAATCAAAGGTCGAATTTTTGTTCTTCTGGGTTGTTAGAAAATTGAAAGAATGAAAGAATGGGGTTAAACAGAGGAGCAAAATTGGAGAGAAGGAAATGGGAAGAGGGATATTAGGGTTAGGACCAAGAGGAGGCAGGGTTCATTTCACTAGAGATGCGGAGGTGAGAATGGAGGGCAAAGGCTATGGAGGAAGAGTGAGGGACGTTGGGCCTCTGAGACATAAGCATCTGCTGCCAAATGGGTTTGTGTTTGGGGTTTCAGTTGTGAGTTGAGGCTGAGAGAGCTGAGGAGGGTATATATATATATATATACACACACACACAGAGACTAAGTAAGGTATTGAAGAAGAAGAGAAAGTGGAGGGAAGAAGCAGATGCCAGATGCGCCGCGCGGTTGGCTGGCTCTCTCCAACGCGATTGGGTTTTGATGACAGGGACCCTTTCCTTCCCTTTTAGGTTGCTGCCCTAACAAGACCACGAAAATTTCATTTCATTTCTTTTTATGAAATTATATTAAATATAATTTCCTTTTGTGTGTTGGCTAGCTTTTACTAGGCTTGAGCTTGACTTGTACGCTTAATAACCCTAGACAGCCGTCGGCCTGCTGCCTCCCCAATGTTCTAGGAGGCGGGTCTTCGAAACGTTGAAAATTCTACACGTTATTTCTTTGAATATTGAAAATTCCTTGCTTCTGGACGGGTTTTTTCAGGCATCTACTACGCGTTAAACTTATTCTTTATGTTCTCATTATAGGAAAATATTTATATATGGAAAATGATCCCTCCTCAAGCGAGATTTAAGCTTAGAATCATAATTTGTTTAATGAAAATTAGTAATTATATGCATAGAGATTCTTTCATGAATATTTATTATGTTGCTTGTATTTCACTTCACACATGAGTCGGGTTATAAACTCGGTTGGGAATTCATGTTTTAGTATCGGCTATAATTAGGGTAAACCCCTACCTCAATTCTAGTCCATTTGATTTAATGTGCCAAGATCCGACTCATACTCTCCTTTTAGAATATACAAATAATAGTTTAAACTAATTTAATCTATAAAGAGGGGGATTAATCTATTCTTAGTGCATTGACTAACTGACCTAATTCACATTTGCAAGAGAATAAACTCCCGGCCAAAGAGGCGAACTCATAATGTACTTTTAGTTCTTCCTTTAAGCATCATTTCTATATGTCAGCCCAATTGGAAATGTTTACTCACTTTGCTTTATCATTATTTTAGTGTTTGTTGAAAACACTATATTCATCTAAGTCACAACTATTAAAAGTATATCGTTTGTCAAGGACGAACGATCCTTTAATATGGACATAAACAAATAAATGGTTCAAATAATGAGAATTTGAGATTATGATTAATTTTCTATTTGTATTGCTTTCCCGAGTTGCTTTGGTAGTCAATTGCTCACGGCATCACTATCAAAGAGGAAAACTTTGGTCCATTTGGGTGTGGAAAAATTAATATGGAAAATCATATGGTCTCATCTCAAGAGTGTTTGGTGTGAGATTATGATTAAATTCAACCATTTTGAGAAAATAATAATTGATTATGCGTGCCTTAAGCATAAGAATTAAACCCATAATTGATCTCTAATGATGGTTTTTTTATTTTTTTCTCAAAGGGGACGAACGTGAACATGCATGACAAAGAGAGTGAAGCATCTTCCACACCAGCCTCAGCTTCAAAAGCACTCAAGGACTCACAGTCAATTCTCAATGTCAATTCTCAATTGTGTGTGGAGGAGAAGAGAACCCTCCACAAAAATCTAGTGGTTTTCTTCTTTGCCCACTTGAGAGAATATTACACAGATATTGAATATGTGCCCTTTTAATCAGTTCTTTTTATTCTCACTTGATCAACTCAAAATTCCCTCAGCCATGCTAAAGTTTTGAGGTCATCAATGAGAAATGTCAAATAAAAAGTAGCCACAAATGAATGAGCAAATGACATCCACCACCAAAAAGATTTCGAGGAATTTTATTTTTGTGGTTGACCAATCAATATATAGCATAATCATATCTCATCAGAATTTGGGTGGACCCAATTGAATTGAAGCCACATATGGGAGAGGGAAAGAAACTAGGCTGGGGAGGTAGGAACTGAGGAAGCCTAGCCACTAATTCTGGATCTAATTTTCTTCTTTCCATTTTTTTCCCATTTCCCATTTCCCAATGAATTGCCACTAATTGTGGATCTAATTTTGGGCTCTCAATTTTTTTGTCTCCATTTCGCAATGAACTTTCAAACTTTTCGTATTGGTTTGAAGTTGAACTTTCAAGTGTTAAAATTGATATGCTGTGGGTTGTGGAATTTAACACATCTTCAATTTGGGGCCCAGGGGAAAAAATTTGATAAAATAATCGACGCCTGAGAGATTCGAACTCTCGCGGGGAAACCCCATGTACTTAGCAGGCACACGCCTTAACCACTCGGCCAAAGCGTCGTTGTTGTTAGTGGTTGCTGTTCAATTCTATATAAACCCTTGTTTGTGAAGCGTGGACTATATTGCATTACTGTACTTGAACAAGCCCAATGATATATATATATATATATATATTTAATACAAGTGATATTGGGAGTGAAATTGGATTTTTAGACCAAAATAAGAAGTTAAAATGTCAAAAAGATTTGTCATCATGTAGGGCACGTTGGTACCTTGAGTTGTCATCCTCTTGCTGCGTTAATTCAGAGTTGTTGTGTTCTTATAAGGCGTATTGGCAACTGTCACCTTGCTCATGTTTACAGAGAAATGAATGTTGTAGCTGATCGTATGGCTAACTGGAGCTTTAACTTGGATTTGGGGATTAGCTATTTAGATGAGGCTCCTGCTTGGGTTAGCTCTTTTTTGGAGGACGATTTTTAGGAGTTGTTAGGCCTCGCTTGATCTGTACTAGTTAGTTGTTGTTTCTTTTTAGGGTTTGTCCCCCCTATCTCATCAAAAAAAAAATGAAGAAAAAAAGGAGAAGGAAGGAAATTAATAAATGGGTTCTTTAGTAAAAACATACAACGAAAGAAATATGTGGGCCAAAATGCCCAATATAAAGATACTACAATGAATGGGCTTACCCAACTAGACAGAAACAAATTAAGGCCTGGCATCTCTTTGCACATCTTGTGTAACTAGCAGTTTGAACCCATTAGGAGGAAGACTTGCATGCCCAATGGAATTATAAGAAATGTTGAAACTATGAGAAAAACTTTCCTATAACTGGTCGTATGGTAGAATTCTATAGCGAGGACCTTATCTAAAATTCTTAGATACGGTCCTATCTTTTAATCGTTGGATCAAATTAGTTAGTTTGATCCAACGGTTAAAAGATATGACATCATCTAAGAGTTTTAGATAAAATCCTCACTATAGAATGACTCACACATCAAATTACACATGGGTCGTTATGATATTTCTAAATGAATTTCAAAAAAGGACAAATTTAGGTGTGTCCACACTCCACATCCACTCATGTGAGAAGGATTTTCAGCCTATGACAATCAATAATTTCAATCTGATCGAGTCAATTCTTCCAAGTATTTAGCTTTCATATAATCGTGGCTAGGAGTGCTTAATCAGACGAAATTGCCTAACAAAGTAAAACAGACGAATCAAATTAACTAAATTGAAAATACAAATACTAAATTAACGAAATGAATAAAACTCTAGCATTTCCGTAATCAATATCAATTTAGCAAATATGGATCCAATCACCAGCTGCCGACCCAACCAACTTGGCAACTTGGATTTAGTTTGTTTGATCTCATGGACTTGGTCTTTGATGCAATCACTATTCCATTGGATTTGGTATTTATGCATTAAGTCTTTCTTAACTCACCGACGTAATAAACAAGGTTTGTGTATGATTGAACATTGGCCGGGCAACTTGCCTCTGATTTTGCAAGTTGCTCTAGTGTGAATCAGTCCACCCACCCAACCGACTTACAAAGTCAAACATTATCTCTTTCATCTATTTTTTCACCTCATTCCGCATATTCCACATATTCTGCATTCTTCATTTATATTTCACCTTGATCACATTCTTGTAGTAATTTCCGACTATTTTATCTCACGCATGTCGTGTGTGTATGATGTATTTATTATTTATTTATGAAATAAATGTGTTTGCTTAATTTAACCCCAAACCAGCCAACTTGGTATATAATTGTCACCGTGTATGAAGAGGCTAGCTACTGCATTTACGTATATAAATCCAAAATTTCTGATGAATGAGTTAGGGTTGGATTTACAAGCTTTATGAGTCAAGTTAAGAGTACATATAATATGAAATTTCAAAATGAAGTTTTAACATGTTAAACAAACACTGGATATCATTGGGCCATGTTTAGTTCATGGGAAATGAGGTTTCGGGATGGAAAATTGATTGTTTTCCCATGTTTGGTAAGTCCAAGCATGGGAAATCATTGCCTTTTGCACATGGAAAAGTAGGAGGGAAAGTAAAGCTCTCCTCCCTCTTGGGTTTTGTAATTTCATCCCTCGTGAGAAAAATTGGGAAAATGAGCTAATATTAAATACACATTTTTCATGACCATACTGTCCCCATTAACAATTTAGAATTAAAATATAGCATTAATGGCATGTTTATTAATCCGTAATTGGATTAGGAGAGATTGAATTGAGGACAAGTTGGATTGAGGATAATTAGATTTTTGATTTCTATTGAAGTTGTTTACTAAATCATATGAAATTGGGGTATGAGTGGTGCTAACTATTAAAATGTCCTCGTTGTTGGGTTAAAGTAGATGACAAATTTTAAAATTTTAAAATTGTGTGAGAATATAATGGGTAAAAAAGATGAATTCCTAATGGGTTAGCTCTCCAGTAATTAGAATACCACCTCTCGCCCAAGAATTGAATTCTTCCAAAATTAGGAATTCAGTTCCTTATTTTGTATGGGCCCCACTTACTTTTCAATTCCTTGATGTGAAGTAAACGTAGAAATCCTTCATAGGTGGAATTCAATTCCTAATGAGAATTCCAATTCTAAATGCATTCTTTTTTTATTTGATTTCATATGGGTATAATTGGAAAATTAAACAAAATTTATTTTACATTCTTACACAAACCAAACATGTAAAAGGAAATAAAATGGTATTTCTTGGTTACTTTCTCAAGATTACCAAACATGGGAAAAGAATCTCCATTTCCCATCCCTTGATAAATGACATAGGAAGTGATTTCCCCTCAAATCCGTTCTGTGAACCAAACAGAACATTAGGGTGTTAGTTGGATTGGTCTAGACTT